CCATATCGTATGTCCGTCGGCATCATCTAGCTCAACAGAATTGGGATGCACTTTGCCATGTATGTACAAACTGCCTCCCAATACCTACCTTGAACCATATCAAACAATTGGTGTCGTTGTGTACGCTATCGTGAAAAAAAAAAAAATAAAAAGAAAAAAAGAAAAAAACCGGAAACGCCTTGCTTATTACCCTGCTTTACTTTGCGGAAACATTTTAGACTCATACTCGAACAAAAGCTACGATTTAAATGTTAGCCGTATATCCAAATATCTCTCACTCTCTCTCACAAAAATAAAAAAAAAAAAAGAAAAAAGAAAGAAGAAGAAGAAGAAGAAGAAGAAGAGGAGGAGGAGGAGGAGAGAGAGAGAGACTTACTAGCATCGATCTGGCTGACTTGTGGCAAAGCCAATCGGACCTTGTTTCTGTATAGAGCTGGTCCCCGGAGCTGAAGCGGATTCCCTTCAAAATAGACAGTGGTCAGATTTTTCTTGTCCTTTAACACCTTTTCTACCTCCACAAAGTCCCCGATCTGGTTGTAGCTGGCCCAGACTTCTTCAAGCCTGGTCAACCCTTCCAGGCCTTTGAGACTGCGAATTTGGTTGTTGGAGATGTCTAGTATGGTTAAATTGGTGCTTCCTTCAATACCCTCCAACGACTCTAAAGCGTTGTGTGCAATGTAGAGCTCTTCAAGCTGAGGCACCTCCTTTAGTGGTGATAGGTCTCTGATTCTGTTTGACTGAATGCTGAGAAGACGAAGGCTCGGCAGGCCACCCAGACCAGTAAGCTCGGTGATTTTATTTTTAGCCACCCACAGCTCCTCTAAATTTTGGAGATTATCGAGGTTTCTCATCTCACGAATGCGGTTTGATCCAAGCTCTAGAGATTTAAGTTTCTGTAACGTATCAAGTCCCTCAATTTTGCTGATCTTGTTGGCGACAAGAAATAATTCCTTGAGCTCCGTCAGGTGGCTGATATTCTTGATGTGCTTGATTTTGTTAAAGCTCAAGTCCAGACAGACGAGATTTTTAAGTTCGTCCATGCCACGCATATGCGAAATCAGGTTGTCATAGAGATCCAAGTCTTTCAATGTGCCCGCAAGGGGGGCCAGACCTTCGATTTCTTGTATACTATTTTGCCGAAGGCATATGCGGGCGACGTTTTTGAAACGCTCGAGTCGAAGGGAAGGGATAGATCTGATACGGGAATGAGAACACATGATTTCCTCGCTGTCGGAGCTCTCACTTTCGAGTAGATCTATTTGAAAGCATACGTTAATTTACAACTCCAATATTCGGTTCGGCAGCATATATACCTTCGTCAGCTCTAATCTCTTCTCCAGGTAGGACATTGCTGTCATCGGAGTACTCAGGATCGGAGAGCGCCTCGGGGTTGGACAGCAGAGCGGATTTGGAGATTCGGAGCTTCCCATCCCAGCCTTTGCTGTTTCTCATGCCCGGACTTGCATCTCCTTCTTCGCGTGGCGCCACGCGATCATCTTGAATGTCAATGTGATGAGGGTGGTCGGTCTCTTTGTCTGGCGCAGATGACATGGCAAAGGGCGGGGGCAGAAGCGTCTCGATGGCGATGGGGAGGAGGGCTTTACTGGATTGAAGGTAGGCACGCAGCTTGTGCGATGTTCCGCAGGTTTTAAGCAGTTCAGCTGCAGCCCAAAGAAGAGGATGCCAATGAATGGAAGTGAGAAGAGATGAATGTTAGAAAGCTGTCACAGGCGGTGGATCGGACGGTGTTTTGAACGATCCTGACTCCTGAGGGTTAACAGTCGAGTAGTCACTCTGAGTGTTAGTTGCAGGCCTAGGTACCTAGCAAGTGCCTACCCGTTGGCAACTAAGTGGGCTAGCCACTTAAGTGGCTCCTCCACTTAAGTTAGTCGCTGACGGGTAGTTGTCTTCAATGTCAGCGCTTGACCCCACCACAAGTCTGCCGTAGTGGTGACATCAGGCCTCAAGGCGGGGCATCCCACCACTCACATGCACCTCCAAAACAATCGATGGACTACGTTTTAATGTCAAGTCTGGTTGAACTTTGTACTCCGTACTCCATACCGTATTGGAGATTGGCCCTCCCCTCCAAGGTGGCTGTTTTTGCCTCAACCTACGGTCTGCTTTCAGACTCGACAACCCCAAATTACATCCAGACTTTCTGCGAGGGCTTTTGTTCTGGCAATTTCACTCGCTGAGATGCCGCAAACCTAGCCCTGTGGCATGGCGATGCTTTGGTCTCGAGGTCTGCCTCTCACAAGAGACCTACAGGTTTTGAGATGGATGCGAAACAAACAGGAGAGGCCAATTATACAGCCCCAAACCTGGCATGGTTTACAGACTAGAAGGTTACATGTTGCTCCTATCCTCCTGCCACCAGCCATCTTCACCGGGCTCCTTGTTGCTTTGTGGTGTTGGAAATGTGCCATGCTCGTTATGTTGCAAAACACTATTATCTACAATCCATATCTTCCGCCAAATGCGAGGAAAATGAAGATATCCGATTATGCTCGATACTGTCGTGCTATTCAATGGCGGGAAGAGAGAATACGATCCCTGGATGGCACAGAGATTTCTCTCTGTGTAAGCAATGGGGGCGGTTCTAGTGGTACTCGGGCAAAAGTAACAATAGGTAACTGCCTCAAGATACCGGTATACATCTTGTACTTTCAAGGTTTGATCCCCTCAAAATTTCACCCCAGAAATAAGGGAAGCCGGGCTCCTGACGAGCGATACAGGCAATGCGTCGTCCCTCCCTCCACGGTTACCAGACATTTCATCGGTTCTGACCCGCCTTCAACTGGAAGACGACAGGTTCTGTTACACCTTAATAGGTGTAAGCTACCGGGGGTATTGGACATCGCATGATCGGCCCTCTGAAACAGGCATCAATAAGGATACCGAAGCAGCCTTGCGCTGGATGTCTGATCAGTATTTCCACAGGTCACAGGAAGGCGAGCAACCAACACCCATCGTCATTCTTTGGGGCCAGAGTGTAGGTTGTGGTTTTGCAACAAACCTGGCAGCCTTGGTGTCTTCGTCTACTTCTCCGATTCATTTGCCAATCAACGCCCTTGTTCTTGAGACACCATTTACAAATACACGCGATATGCTTTCAGCTCTATACCCACAGAAGTGGTTGCCATACAAACACCTGTGGCCTTTCCTTAGGAGCCACTTGGACAGTTGGAAGAACCTCGAGGTGATTGGAAGGGAATGTGCTGGGACACGTCCGCCTGAAATATACATTATCGAAGCAGGAAAAGACGAACTAGTGCCTCCAGACCATGGAAAAAGGCTTCAAAGGCAATGTGAGAACGTGGGCCTCCCAGTACAACGTCATACAGTTCATTCAGTTCTTCACAATGATGTGATGGTTCGCCCACAAGGTAGAGAAGCCGTTGCAGGATCCATCTTGTCAGCGGCGCGGAAGGCAATAGAAACAAGAAATGAGGAAACGAACTCCATAAGATAGGAGAATCAGAGAAGTCAGTACTACATCCTATTCCGACGGAGGAACATATGCTTTCTTCTTCTGCTTTTTTCCCCTCCCGAGTAAAATACTCATCATCGTCCAGCTGCCTGCACCTCCAACAAACACCACTGGATTCTTCGGGGCGACCAATAAGTTGCTTCACCCAGTCCAGTACGACAACCAACGCTTCCGCAGTGGAGACACGACCGACCATTCAAGGCACTCAGGGATGATCGACCCAGCCAGCTCGCCAGGAACAAGGCTAAGCAATCTCCCATGGCACCAACAAAAAAGCACGGTACTATCCATGTGCAAAGACAAAGACGGAAGCCCGTTCACTTCTCCAGGTGTGGTGACGATCTGCTTAGAGCTTCAATATCTCGGAGCTACAGAGACTGCCAGCAAGGTCAAAGGGCTTCCAAAGTGGCATCAATTGATGAATATAGGGACTTGCAGTGCCTCTTATGCACATCTCTCTGATCCTTTGACATTAAATATTGGTCGATTATATCCGACGAGGTGCAGACTGACTATCGTTTAAGAACGGTGCATTGAGGAGAGTTGCCTGTGGTGCTCCACTGCCCTCACCTCCCAACTCCCTACCCCGGCCTGACTAGTTTTGGTGCCATGGTTTGTTGGAATATCCCCTTCAGCAAAGGCATCATGTTGAGACCCCGGCCCCTGGAAGCTCCTGGCCATCCTTGCTGTTCTGCTGTCCTTGATGACTCTCAGCTCTGATTTGCGTCTGACTCGGAAACGCTTGGGCCATGGCTTGCTCCAGCACCCTAGCACAGAATCAATTAGTTTCACGTGATATCGCGTAAACGACGCGAACTGAGAGTCACGTCTTGCTCTTACTGGACACGCGTAGGACCTGAGGCTATCACCATGGCCAGAGGGCTTCCTTGCAAGGCGAACCACATCGGGGGACCTAGCCCGCTTGTTAGTGTCTTAGCCATGCAACTGTGATATGGAGTCCGCCGATGCCTGCCGGTTGGTGGTTGCACGGAGCATTCTACTCAAGTATTTAAAGGCCTGGCATTCACCCCGTCTCAAGCAACTAATTTTCTGGGACATCTCGTCAGCGCCTTAGGTAAGTCTTTCTGTGGCTTCGCTGACACCATCAGGCATCGCAAATCGCCATCAGTTTCGCCACGAGTGTTTCCACGTCTTTTTGTAGTCCGCCTTTTATTTCTTTACTCTGCTGTGAATTTTCCTGCTGCTATTGCTGTAGACCTGAGCAAGCGTCAACTGCGGTCTCTTCCTGTGCACTCAACAAACACTACTACAATGTTTAGCAGCAGCAGACGTTTCGAGTCGTCAAGCAAGAGCTTTTCCAAAAGTCATAAGGCGTCAAAATCAAGTTCTTCGTTCAGCCGTGACAGTGGTGTCAGCAAAAAACGTCATGAGTCTCGTCATCGGAGGCCAGCAACGGCTTCCACAGCCACGGCCAGTGATGACACAGTCATGGGCGGGTATGTAGCCCTTCTTCTCCCCTAATTCTTCCCGTCTCCTATTGCTCGTCATGAAGGAAGAAAAGCTGACCGGCGGACACAGAAGTATGTCGTCCGCTATTGTGACGCTGGTCGTCGGATCCGACCAACGACTGTTCGCCGCCCACGATGATGTCCTCTGTTCTAGTCCTTTTTTCAATAATGCTCTACGGAATACATACATGGATCCTGCTGCCAAGAAAATTGCCCTTCCTGACGAAGAGCCAGAGATTTTCAGCTCAGTGTTGGAATACTTGTACAAGGGAGACTATTTCCCACGACTTATGCACAACAAACGGCGCAACTCTTGGGAACTTGAACCTTCTGACTCAGAGCGAGCAGTTGAAAGCACTTTGTATCATCGCGGAGTTGACGGTGACTTACTCAAAGACACTGTGATCTATTGTGCAGCTGAGAAGTACGGACTAGAGGAGCTCAAGAAGCTCGCTCTCCGGAAGCAAGGCTTGCGTAAGCTTTTTCCCCCCTTCAATCTGTTTCATGACTATCCTGTTCCTCTCACGTCATATCTGACCAAAGATGTATAGAATCTGGTATCCAGTGCAGCACCATCTTGGCATCTGCACGGTATGCGTATGCCAAGACACCCGACAGCGATTCCAAATTGCGAGCTCACTACTTGGCTCTCATTATTCGCTCTCGTGGTACTTTTAAGCGTAGCGGGACTATGCAACTCGAAATGTATAATGGCGGCACCCAGCTTTTTTTTGACCTGTTTGTTGCCTTGTGCAATCACGTTGATGATATCTCATCTGTGCAGTAAGAAGGAAATCTTACTTCATCGCCTTGTCGGAGACTACACTAACACGGCGTCATTTCAGAGGTACACCGAAATCTGGCCGCCAGATCCAATATTAAAGGGCCCCAGGATCCAGTCTCACGACATCCCGACTCAAACGACGTGATACGTTTCCATTTATTCCAATTTTCACACACACGGAGCCAGTTTGCTAGGTCACCCAAAGAGGTGAAATGCAACAATCTACGGCTTAATCCTGGCGTTGAGGGCTTGGGACTTTTCTTTTCTAATACTTGTCACAAGATTTTGACGTGTTTCTGTGCAGCTAGTTGGTCGGGCGTCGTTTTTCATTATGTCTCTTTTCTAGCCCTCACGTTCATCGCAAGCCATGTACAATTATGCTTCTCGACCTACGAGGGTGTATGGTACTTTCACTTCTTCGAGAACACAAAAGCTTATGTCCTGTTGAATTTTCATGTATAAAAGAGCAAAGTTTCTAGAGATGCCTATATGACCTTTGCGTCATTTACGTCGACTTTATGTACGATTACCTTCTGAAACCCTTTTCTGCGTCCTATTTTGCAGATATGAGATTAAGGGCATACACATCTGTAATTAATAACATTTAATTATATTCGCAAATTACGTGCTTAGAGACACAAATGATTATGGTAGGCATGTGCATGCAAATGGACGCTTATTAAGTCTACGTAACGCTTTGCATGTCAAGAGTCTCAAAATTCCTGTGCTGACGAGATCTCTGATGTGGCGGCCATGACTCACATCAGTTCAGACAACATTATCCTTGTTCAGGAGTCCTGGGGGCAGATCTTCCCGCGCTGCACGATGTGCCTTAGGTAGCACTCCGGCGTAAAATCAGCATCTTATCAGTCTCATCCCTGTTAAATACCGCAACTCGTGATGAAAGAAATAATTAGTGGCATGGCGCCGAAAGCTTTTGTGCCAATCAGTTGTTGGTAGCCCTATTTTCAATCTCAGGGCACCGATTTGAGCCAGCCAACTACCGTGGTCCGTTGTCCATTTTCCCATTTGATTGCGAGGCTGTCATGAGTATTGTTCATCAGACTTGGCTTGGCTTCTCCTCATCAAGGGCGCCAAACAGCTTCGAAATTCTTATCATAGCCATGTAGCCCTGAATCATACGCCTGTTCCGGGGAAGGCGCCCTTCTTCGATAAGACCACAATTCCTCTTTCTCGAGCAATGTATCCCTTCATTAGATCCTATCATAATGCAAATTAGCAATCAATCCTGGTACGGTAGATGGTTGACGTGGACCACACGCAAGCTCATTGCTGCCTTGGAGGCCTCAGGCTGGAGCACTCGGCACCGACTGATAGAACGGCAGATGGATGTTTGCGTGGCACCGAAAAATGAGAAATGATAGCAAGCATATGGGGGCGGTTCAGGTAGATTGTGCAACCAGTCTCCGGGCAGGCTTACCTTGTAGATCATGTTGGCCAACAGGCACTCGACTTCATCTGTATCGACGAGTTCCCCGCCACTTCCCATGCAGATTGCGGCTCGGAATTCTGAGACTGGTACTCGAGTTCTGCGTACAGGGGTCGTTTCGCCTTCTTTGGGTTCGTCAAATCCACCGGCGATGAAGACCTTGCGTAATAGGTTGCGCAGGGCAATATCACGGCCGCGCTCTAGGGTTAAATAGATGCGTTTTTTGACAAACTCGTCCTCACCCCTTTGTAGGGCTAGATCGAAATTATGTAAATCGCCTCGTTTAATGCACTCCGCAAGTGGTAAAAGCAGTTCCTGCAATCGAGGATACGGTTGAAGGAGCGCCTTGGTAGGGAGGACGTGACTAGTCAGCAGCCGGCAGGGGATGAGATATGTCAAGATGCGCCTGTCCCTGTTAGTCGTCATAGTCGTCATACTCGTGGCGTTTGTTACTTTTAACATACTCTGCGTTGCTCTTAGCATCCTTGTGGCATAATTGCCATGCTTCAATAAGGTGCTTCTCTGCCTGTTTGGAGTGGTTTTAGTACTTTACTCAAAGACATTGAGCGGGTGAGATACCTGAACATAGTTCTCTTCGAGAAAGAACAAAACACCCTCATAATACTTAAAAGTAACCCTTTGAGCCCTTGGAAACGCTTCTAAAGGCGGCATGTCTCCCTTATCGTTATAGACGGCCAACGTCTTCAAAATCGTTCTTGACAATGACGCACTGTTGAGCTTGAAATAAGTCTTGAACAACAAATTAATAACAAAATATATCCCCCATTTTCGAGATTCTTCTATCGGTGCTCTACATCAGTGCATGATTAGTGTTGTATCAAATATTCCATGACAGGAGCGTCTCACCTGTCATTGAGGCACAGTGTAAATATGCGTTTCAGATGCTGCTCGCAGTCTCTAAGCTGACCCTGCTTCTCTAGTTCCGGGTCAAAGTCGTCTTGCATCAGCGATGCAGTCCCGGAGTTGTCGGTGGAAGACCGGCTTCTCTCGTCATCAGACTTGATAGCAAACAATCTCAGATACTTCCCAACGACGTAGAGGGTGGGAATTGTCCATGCTTCAAAGCCAGAGTTGTTGTATCCTCGAATTAATATGGAGGTAAGCTCTTTCCACGCCTCATAGACTCTAGTCCAAGAGGACTTGAGCGATAGGTGTTAGCCCAGATGCATCCCCTCAGGTACACATTATGAAGGCAACTCACCTTGCCGCTCTCCCCAGCAAGAATCTCACCTATTGCGTTCCAGTATGCCACATATACTTCAACCCATCCGTTGACCTCGTCATGGCTTATAGTTTTTCGAGAAGATGTCTGTGACTTAATAAAATGCTTAATGTCTCCCTTGGCACTATGGGAATTGGTGCTCTGCCATATGCGTTTCAGCCGGTGCGGTTCATTGGGAGGTGGCACTGGCGAGATCGTCTGTGCTAGCAGGTATCCATTTCGCAGAGCGCACGCTTTGGCAAAGTCTTCAAACAATTCGTTCATTTTGACTGAGAGCTCGTTTGACTAAGTTGCCTTACGAGAGCAACGATCGAGAAACGTTGACTTTGATGTCCCTCAATCACTTCCAATATAGGTTAAAACTCATGAGCCACTGATCTGCCGGCCGTTCCAGGCAAACTCTAGGAACTTGGGTCAACCTCGCAGGTTGGTACGTACCCTGGCTTCACTTAAGAGACCAGATGATCTAATTGGTTGCGTTGTGCATTGGCACTTTTCGCTTAACGTGGTTTATCACGTGAGCGCCAGCTACTCACTTGTGGATCTTGGTATTGTAATTCAGCCAATCGCTGGTGAAGCCTAAGCCCTGCAGGCTCTCGTCCTGCGTGCCCTCCCCACCGACCGCACACAAAAATTATCGCTGTGTCTCTTCCAACTTTGACAATCATCAAATTTCGCCAGTTGTCGAAGACATTGACCACCGCCACTGTAAGTCGGTCAATATTATTTAATTCCAACATCTACTAATATACTAACATATAATCCAGATGGGTAAGCGCCGTCCTCCTAATTTGTTTTTGTCTGTGCTTGGGATTGCGTCGGATGAAGTTGGAAAATACCAAGGGACGGACCATCAGCCACAGCATTTCACCACCAACGAGAGAATTCTATGATATTTGACGATATGGAGTGTCCCACCGAAAGGACTCTGGATTCTGAACCGGGCCGATGATTCTGTTGTGAAATCAACCGCGCTGTTTGCATCAACTTTACGCAATCTCGGCGGCTCGACAGATTTCCTTTTCAGCTTCGATCCTACGCACGACCTGCAACCGAACTTCGACTCATGGTGTCACTTTCTATCTCGACGACAAATCTCACGCGCTTATAATAGACGAAAACCTACATTGAATCGACAAACTAACCGTTTTTTCTTTTACATAGGTCGTCTTCAGGAATACGAGGTCATCGGGCGCCATCTGCCTACGGAGGCCAACCCAACCCCGGACATGTACCGCATGACCATCTTTGCCCCTAACGAGACGGTCGCCAAGTCCCGATTCTGGTACTTCTTGCGAGGTCTCCGAAAGGTCAAGAAGGCTACTGGTGAGATTGTCAGCGTCAAGGCTGTAAGAATATACCCGACCACCCGTCCCAAGTTGTGCAGATTCTCTATTTGTTAAAACATTGAGGCTCACAATTCGGGGTATAGATCCATGAGAAGCACCCCCAGAAGGTCAAGAACTTCGGCATCTGGCTGCGCTACGACTCCCGCTCCGGTACACACAATATGTACAAGGAGTACCGTGAGATGACCCGCACTGATGCCGTTGAGGCCCTTTACTCCGACATGGCTGCCCGCCATCGCGCTCGTTTCAGGTCGATCCACGTACGTACATTATATCAACCCAAATGTTTTTATCGGATCCGGGTGATAAAAGTGCTGACTTCTTCCGTTAGATCCTGCGCGTTGTTGAGATCGAGAAGACTGAAGATGTCAAGCGCCCGTACATCAAGCAGCTCCTCCAGAAGGGCCTGAGCTTTCCTCTGCCTCATCGTGTTTCCAAGATTAGCAACTCGAAGGTGTTCAGCGCAAAGCGACCTTCCACCTTCGCTTAGAGTGTTTCTGGTTTCTGGGGATGGTCGGGCAAGGTTCTGCGGGTGTTTACTACGGATCACGGAAATATCAACTGCATTTGCCTGATAAATAGCAGGCAACGAATGAACCAAAACTCTTGCGTGTTACGTGATAGTGATTGAGAGAGTGACACCATTCGATGCCACATCGGTAGCTGGAGTCTAAAAGGGAATGCACATTTTACGTCAAGCGTGCTCCTACTTTTGTGAGGCCATCATTGTTGAAGGTGTACTTTATTGGAATTTGTGATTGAATGACTGTAGGACGACGTAACGGTGGCTGTCACGATTGCTTTGCTCTGGAATTTTGCTCTCTGAAGTCGCCAACGGCCCAAACAAGCCTAGACAATAACGCGGCTACTTTCCGTCATCATGTTAAGCCTAGTTGGATTGGTGAAGACTGCTGCTGTCTAGTGAGGTGTAGGCACATGCGGATTCAAGCGGCATACATTAAAACAAAGTCACATTCTGCAGTGTCTTGGGGTTCGCTGATCGGAACCTGGCATGGGCATACGTTTTCTGCCTTTGGTCAACTCTGGACAGAGTCGCCCAACTCTACGCCTAAGACCAGCGACTGCTGATCAAGAGAAGCTGGCTTTTTGCAAAATAGTCATTCAATGCGATTTCCGAGACTATTCTGCAAACATCACGTAATATCTATGTATCTACAACACAGGAGATGGGTTTCATGGTTCCATGGCATCGTGTACGGTACCCACAGTGGAAGTAAGTCTCGGCGACGCCTTCTGTGACTCATGCTATGTTTGGGATTTACCACAATTCTCTCAAGAGTCAAGAGCAGCGAATATATACATATTGCAACAGAGTCATACGAGGCTTAGTTTTATCCCCAAGACCACCTTATCGGATAAGACATTATTCTCCTAATTGCTGAGTTAAACTGGCCCTATTCGAGCGGCAACCACCAATGGACGGTAACTCAACATGATGAAGTCTTCTCCTTTGGAATGGGTTATGGTCAAGACAACCCTCCCGTCTTCTCCTCTTCCACCTTTGGACAATCGTCCAGAAATTCGGACTGAGCGACTGGTTCTACGCCCCACGTTGGACAGCGATTTGGAGGGATGGCATGCTCTGCGCCGTCAACCCGAGGTTATGAAATGGACTGGGCAGGGAAAACCAGATCCGGATATCGACTGGTCCAGGGAGAAGTTGAAGCAGAGGCTGTCACCAGAGGGCGATGCCAAGTACGAATACATTGTTTGCCTGGCTGACACGGGAGAGATGATTGGGACTGCAGGTAGCCATATGCTGGTGGGAGAGCTTGGATGGCCTGTGATCGGGTATATGCTTCGTAAGGAGTTTTGGGGCAAAGGGTATGCCACGGAACTCGTGCACGCGTTTTTGAAAGCCTGGTGGGCGCTTCCACGGGCTGATGTTGACGTAAGGGTAGAGAGGAGCACAGCGGTGGAGGGAGATGATGGCAAGGTCAGGGAATGCATTGTTGCGGTGACCCTTGACAACAATACGCCAAGTCAGAGGGTTCTCGCGAAGGCGAATATGCAGCTTGTCAAGGTTTGGGACGAGGCTGATGAGCAGGATGAATCAGTTACTGAGATTTTGTACGGCCATGTGGCTAAACGGCCGATGTCGTTGACTGGAATTTAGCCAAAGCGGCAAGGAGAAAATCTATGCTGGGCTGCAGATTTCATTGGACTATACGTAGTAGAGGGCAGTTGAATTCTTTGATCTGATGATGATAATAACCACTCCAAGCACAATAATAGTGTCCCTTCCCGCATCTTTGCTATATCAATCTGTTGGTCGGTCGTATTCAGAAGTCATGATGTTATTTCTACCATTATGTGTACAGTGTGAAGCTGACTTGCCCTTTTATACGTAACATCCAACCAAGGATTAAGGATCCTGCACTGAGCCCCATAAAAAATGGGCTGAGACCACCTCGTGCCAATTAGTTATTAACTTGCGTAGGGGGATGATGCGGCGTCTTGTCCGAGATTCCCGAGTGTCCCTCACAGTCATTCATGGTGACCCTACTCCACAATGAAACCAGCATATAAGCGTCGTCGCTAAAACATTGTCTGTGATTCTTCAGCAAGACCTGCTATCGAACACTCCCATCACTTCGCCTACATATAAAATTTTCTTGTTCCCCGGGAAATGCAAATCTCAGGTCCACCCCTGGTTGCAGTCGCAACCGGCATCGTCGGTTCTGCCTGGGCAGCTGGTTCGTGAACAAGCTATACCGGCACATCGTCAAGCACATTAACTAATAAGTTTGATGGACCTACAAGGTGCTATCGCATCACTGTCATTCATTGTCATACCTGCACTCAAAGTATCACCCGAGTCTACCGCCCCGGCATGGGCAGACGTGTACAAACGTGGAGCAGCTCTCATGCCAAAAGTTGCCGTTGGAGTTGCTCTTGCATATGGATACGCTGCCTATGATGTCCAGAGCCACGGTGGAAAATGGGTTGGGTTTGCAGCTGCGGCCGGAAGCATGTTGGCTATCGTGCCGTTCACCCTGGCTGTCATGATGAGGACTAATGTTTCGTTGCAAAAGGCAGCTAAAGATGGGACTCCAGGCAGTGATCCCCAGGTCAACAACCTGCTGGACGCTTGGGCATGGATGAACTTTGCTCGAAGTTTATTCCCACTTGCTGGTGCTGTGATCGGTGCTATTTCACTTATTAACAATAACGCCTAGTTGTCTCCGACAACTGATACAACTTGCTGCGAAACCAAGCGGGAAATAAGAGGCTGGAAACATGAGCTGTTTGGTCGCCGCACTAGTAATTCGAAAAGGACTCTACTCTAGCAAATTCTCATGCATGTTAAGAATAACACTCGCGTGGCAACTGACCATTATTTTATGATACGGATCGCTGTGCTGTATGTAATGAAGTTGCTTCAAAGTTTTCGAGCAAGATAAATGCTGGTGACGTACAACGACGATAATATTTACCTAGTACTCACCCTTGAACAAGTCAGCTAGCATGTATTAGAGCCTTGCTATACAAAATGTCTGAAATGCTTCCAAGCCGTACACATTTCCTCTTCTGGCTTAGGCTAGGTAACAGCTCTGCCGCTATATATGCTTTCGAAGACACGCTTATTTCGAGACGCTACTTGGTTAGTCAATCAATCCAAGTCTTCGACACAATCATCAGATAACTCTTCAAATCTACCCTCCTGAACGGCCTTTTCGACGGGGTTTTGAATATTGACGATGCCAGTCTTTTTCAGCCTGGAACCATGTCAGCCTTAAGCTATCTTGGCACAAGTCAAATGCAAAACGAAGCACTGACCGTTCAAACAAAACGAACAGGCGTTCTGCCTCACGCTCCTTTTCCTCATCTGTCATATCTGGCCCATCGGCAATCTTCTCCCTGTCCAGAAACTGCCCGGTAATTGGGTTGACGAGTTTTTGGGCCCCGAAGCCGTCACCTTTCTTGAAGGTGGCAGCAGCGGATGCAGGTACGGGCACATTGTTCTGAAACAGAAAGCCAGATGCAAAGCCATAACCCACGTTTTCCACAAATTTCGACGCGTCCTTGTCTGAAATATCGAATAGAAGATGAGAAATAGCGTCTCGCAAGGCTGGGGCTGTAGGATTTGTTGAATTCTTCAGCAGGTGTGATGGGAGAGAGTCGGAGCGGCCCAGCACACCTTGCCGATCCTCTGCGGTTGGTAGAAGACACTCGCGCAGCTTTTGCTGGACTGGCTGTCGAGCGTTTTCGTACAACTTAGCAAGTAGGCTGACCACCGGTGTGACAACCGTTTCGAGATCATTACCACTGTACGCTCGTATGCTCTGATCGAGCAAGTCCACAAGCCTTGACGTTAACTTGTGTGGCTCATTCTCGGGGTACAGAACCAATTGGCTCAGCTCAGTGTGAAGATCGAGGTTGAGAAGCGAATTAATAAGAGGACCAAAGGGGGGATCCAAGGGCTTGGTTTTGGGTATTTCTTGTTTTAAAAGTAGTGCCACGATAAGTGACACTGCCGGAGCAAACGAAGACACATGTGTCTTTGAAAAGTGTGTCACATTAAACATGAGCTTTAACGTCTCTCCAAGTGCCGAATCCTCCATCGGGTCCAGCTTTTCCTTCTGCTTATCTGAAAGGATCTTTACGTGGCGTCCTAAATTGTTGACCAGGTGCTCCGCTAGCTCGTGGTTCTCGATCAATTCTGGCAGATCGATATTGGTACCGTAAGTGGAAAGAAACAGTACCCGCGAAAGAAGGAACTCGTCATCCCAATTGCCCGCTTTGAGCCGATCACAAGCCTGAGCAGGATACCCTTGATCTACAAACATCTGGCGTGTCTCGGGTTTCAGAAGCATCGCATTGGCTACTACTCGCAGGGCGGCTCGTGAGGTGTCATCTGGGGTGTTCTGAAATGAATACCTTAGAAGCATAGTAAATCCCTTGAGAAGTGTTAGAGTCAGCGATTATAGCAATGGGTGCTGGGAAGAAGACTACAAACATCTTTGGTGAAGATGGGATCTGCGTACTTAGGGTCCCTCCCGTATATTTTAAGCTCTTCTAAGGCATCAGTGCGATCTTTGGCAAAAATGTTAGACTTCGAAACCACCATAGTCGCCTGCAGGGCTGGAGAGTACCTTTGGGTAACAGTGAGAACTTTTCAAGATCATCGCTCAGCTTATTGACCAGATCTGCCACGGCTTGAAGCTTTGCTAAGGTCGCGTATCTCTTAGCTTGAACTGCGTTGTTGACACGACTAGATGACAGAGCCTAGGGTGACTCACCTGGTCCAGTGGCAGCTCCCTTGGCTATCGCGGCCATTTCGAACTCACAACAGGCTTCAACTCACAGAATTTAAACAACGAAACGACAGCAAGGAGCGCTGGTATATGCTACCCAGCGGCACGAAGGGCCGAAAACACCGAATACAGCACGACGTTGTGACCTTAGGTTTTTGAAGTTCTTAGCCCTGGACAAAAACACCTGATAGAGAAAATCACCGCACAGATACCCGTATGAACTCTGTTTTCTGTTACGTTTCTGTACAAGTACCAGTACACAATCCTGAGTTCGTTTAGATCATGAAGCTTGGGACATGTCGTACAAGCCGACCTTGAGAGAGCTGTAGCAGGTGGGTGGGGAGGCGGGTTAGGACGACGACGGAGGGTCTGCTCTTTCAGCGGCGTAGATAAGCCGACATCGACGCCTCCACCTTGAACGGGGCACTTGGTGGCAGTTGAGCAGGAAGCCAGGCAGCACTGAGGCCAATTGTCTCGACGTTCTTTCCGTGTGCTTGGATAGAAAAGTAACAAGTCAACCCAACGCCGACGAGGATCAACCTGCTCCAAAATGTCTGAAGGGTGATGATGGAACTGGTAGTTATGTTCGTACCAAGTTTAGAATGCGAGCAGGGTGCCAGTTATGATAAAGAAGTAACAGAGAAGTATGAAAAAACTAGAAGTCTGTGTACACGAGGTTTCAAGGTTTTAGCGGATGTAAGGAGGTGCTACCCACGATGCATGGTGCATGTTGCCACGGTGCGCGGCGATTATCTCCATGCTTTTCTGCGTATCAATCAATTGATCCAGTTTCTACTTGCCAGCTGGGAGTTGGACAGAGCGCACTTGAGCATGCCTGCCCTCTATTGGCCCATGGCTTAGTCATGAGCCGCGGTGCCATGTCCCCCGCGCGCACTGGCAGCAGCTTGCACGCGTTTTCGTGAAGCGTGGTCGCGTTTATTGAAAAGTCAAGCTGGCCAGCCAGCCTCCAGGTCCAGCAGCCAGGGATATGGGTGCATGTGCAGGGCAATTCATTAATTGATTCCATTTCTGCCCTACTCAATTTGGCCATGCCTTCGACATAGACATTTGTCGCCCTTCAACATTTCATCTCAACCCCCAATTCCAACCCCGATTCCACGCCTCGCATTTCGCATACGTCCAGTTTGGCTACTTGAGAAAAGTGCTTCGACGTGCAGTGGAACCCTGACTTGCTGCAAAATTGAATAGTCGTCGTTTATACAGCGGCGTCAATTCTCTGCATTGGCTACGCAACCTCCACCACCCTCTACACCGACCTCTTGCATGGCATTGTGTGAGCTTGCTGGCCAATTCTCTGCGCTCTAGATCGCCGGTGCTGCCTGGCAGCAGCCATGGCATCTTCAGTAGCCTCGGCCTCTCCCACCAATATTCTGATCGCACTGCCAGCTCGGCCGCCAACTCCTCCTCGTGAAGCTAGCCACGAAGTCGACGTCTCTCTCAAATCCATCGTTCTGGGGCGAGCCTCGGCCTTTGACCCAATATTGAGTCTTCACACCCCTCCGAATGCCCACTCCTTCACCTCACCTGTTGCTACGGGATCCAACCCCAGTTCCAGTCGTGCTCGGAAGAAGGTTGAGTGGTCCTCTCACACAGACTATTGCGAGGCCCCCCAATATCCCGAAGGTCTCAAGGCCGGCAAATCTTCGCCATTCTCAGCTCCGTCGTCAGCAACACGCTTTAAACCTGTCAAGAGCATCCTTAAGCCTTCCTCGTCCCCGAACCCTTTAGCTTCCTGCTTTACGAACGAGCTCGATGGTCCTTCACCGCTTAATATAATTGAAATGCTGGACTCGACTATCAGGCAGCTGGCCGGAGCAGACCGGGACTCCAAGCTGGATGCATATATGATGCTTTCCAGAGCCCTCAAGGCCTCCAACAACCTTCCGGATCGAGTCGCTTTGCAAAACAAGATGAGCCTATTTATGCAATTTGTTCAGCGGGATATGACGGCAAAGTCGGACCATGGAAACCTAGACACGTCTCTGATTAATCATTCTCTCACACTGCTTGCCACCTTTCTTCACTTCCCGGCCATTGCGTCTACCCTTACCTCTGACTTCAGCGTTTTCGTCATTGAGCAGTCCATCCGTTCGTTTGAGGACGAAGCGATGCCCAAGGATGTGATACGACATCTTATGCAAGTCGTGGCATTTCAGAACTTTTCTGCCAAAGTCATGACCTCGGAGAGAGTTGGTCGTCTAGTAGCAGCTTTGCACAAGATTGAACATCACTTAAAGGGGAAAAGCATTATAATGAGCCGGCTACACATATACAAGCGACTCATCAAACAGTCCAGAAACCACATGGCTGCTCACCTTGATTGGCTCAAGGATATGTTTACTGACATGCTCAGTTCTGTCAAAGACATTCGCTCACAAGCCATCAGCCTGGGATCAGAGGCAGGGTTTGCGTTGCGGTCCGAAAAGCAATTACTTCGAAAAGCGACCGAACTATTTCAAGCAGCCGACGATAGCGAAACATACATCGACTTTTATGTAAAGAGGCTGCAGGCGATGGTCAAGGAAAAGCATTTTTGCCACTTCGTCCCCCAAATATGGAGCGTCGTCATCCTATTTCTTCGTTGTCCCCTTGATAGATGGCAGCACTATGGACCTTGGTTGACCCTGGTGCAGTCTGCCTTCAATATGACGGACCACTCCACTAAACAAGAAGCCAACTTTGCATGGAACAGATACGTCTATCTCTCGCTTTCGGACAACAGAGTCAGCCCCAAATGCATTGCGACGTTATGTCAGCCTCTTCTTAGCCAACTTCGCAGAAAGTCGAGCGCGAAACAGCAAGAAGAAGCCTTGAAACTGCGCAGGGTGGTAATTGGTGGTATATGCAATTTATACTACTACGCCTTTACTCCCGGTAGTGACAAATACGATACGGATGTCTTGTGGGATGTTGCCGTGCAACCAATCATAAGCCAACTCATTAGCCTGGATGGTATGCCTGACGTCCCTGGAGATGGCATTATGCAAGCAGCTAGATTACTTGTTGGTCTTCTGGATGTCGTCACACCGCGTGTTTGGAGGCAAGACCGCATCGTTGATCTGCCTCCAGTCAAACCGGACGAACTCCCCGCCATTGATTCGAAGTGGGTTAGAAGGAATTGTGACAAGGTGTTGCAATTGGTGGGACCTATCATTCAAAAGAAATTTATCGATCTAGCGAATAAAGACAGCTTGATCTACCGATTGTGGCAGGCACTTGTGGGGTCTGTTACAGCTGCCTCTGCAAAAGATATCAAGGTTTCCGAGGATACGGCCAAATTTGTTGGCTGTACGTTCGGTTTACTTTCTACTGTTCTTACGACGGAGGGTGCTAAGCCCGAATCTGCTTCGTCCAACTCAAAATTTCTCTCTGGCGTCTCTAACCTAGTACAAATTCTCATCGATGGACTAGGGCTTCTCCCATTTACTGAGAAGAGACTCTCTATGACTGTTCTGAATATCTTTGAGCCAGTTGCTACGCCATCACAGCGGGTGGACCGATCGGATAAGCCTAGAGGGGTCGTACGTATGCCTCTGCATCACTTGTTCGTAATGCTTGCTGCTGTCCCTGTTGGCGGCAGCGATGACGACACCACGGCGAGGTTTTTACAGTCAACTTTTGAACCTTTCTTGAAAGGCAGAAGTGCCAAAGGACGTTTCGACTTGGCCAAAGAGCTATTGCAGCTGTTACCTCGCCACTCTTTGACGCCATATGGGCCTTGGTTGCTGGCTGCAGATTGTGCTAAAGCGTACCTTGACAAGCGTTCAATTCTTACCGCTGGGTGTGTCCCAGTTCCAGATAAAATGAACGGCCCGGAGTTCCGAGAAGTTGTGTCTCTAATAGAACGTGGTCTCAGCTCGCACCCAAATCTACCTCCTCGACAGTGGACTCCCTTGTTTGATTCTGTTGCCACACAAGTCTCGAGCGATTTTGGCGATGCTGGCTGTTCTCTAGTCGTCATCGAACCTTTAGCCAAAGCGATATTAGACATGCCCAGTGCGGCAGCTGAACGCCTATCCCCATTGGTCGTCCAAGCTGTCACCTCTCTCTTCAACCATGCGAAACTGCCTCGAGACAAACAAGCCGTGGAAGCTGCTCGGTCAAGGCTCTGGGGAGCGCCTCCAAATCTGCCCAAAATGACGTATTTCGACCCGCTCGATCATCTATACAAACTTGGAAATCACTTTTTGGTAGTTTTGTATGATCAGCAATTAGACACAAATTGGAATGTGCGTACTGTGCCATTGCTCGGGGCCATGGATACATTCTTGGTCAAAAACTGGCCCCTCTTCGGAATAGAGGTGTTAGGCAAACTGCAAACTGGACTCTGCGTATGGCTTCAGGACGAAAAGACTCATATTCAAGAGGAGCATGATTCTTCCTTGTTCACGTGTGTGAGTTTGGATCCTGAAAAAAGCCCCCCAATTTATCCATTTTTCACTGACCTTCTCTTGCAAAGATTGTTACTATCTGGGACCATGTTTGCTCCAATCTCGTTGCTCAAGAACGGCCGGACAGACAAAGTTTGGATGTTATTGAGCCAGTCCTAACGGCTGCCTTTAAAAGTACGCATGCGACTATTGTGAAAAGAACATGTGTGATGTGGAATGCAATCATGAATCATGATGAAGATATCCAATGTTCAGACAGTCTCATGGCGATCGTTTCTTCTGTGCGATCCAAGGTTGATATTGTCGTCCCAGGTGCCAGCAGAAATACTGGTCTCGGAATACAGACTGCAAAGGGAGGCCTACCAGCCGACCCCAGCTCGGATGCTCTATCCCCAACAAGATCGCATCCTGATGCCAACATTACAACGTCAACCTCGAGATTGTCTGCATCTAGAAGACCAATGACCAGGAGGCGACGTCTAGAATTGACACCAGAGTGCCATCACGCAAAGCCAACAAAACGAATGAGCACACCGCGCCGCCGACATGACAATTCTCAAATACAATTTGAGCCAATTGTGTCGTCCTCACCCTTGCATAACGAATCTCAGCACCTGACAGAACGCCAGAAGGAGGTCCGAGAAAGGCAGCGTCAAAATGCAGTCTTATACACAGACGCCCAATCCAACTTCTCTCCACCATCCGTCCACAAGTTGCCCGGGCCAAGTACACAAAGGAATGTGCCTCAGAGTCCTAAAATGGTACAGGAGAGCACCCCTGAACACAGTAAATCCTTCGAAGACCTGATTAGCTTGACACCAACCCCCAGGCGCGGCCAGGTGTTACAACTGGATGACTTCAATGACCCCCCGTCTTCGCCGCCTGCACCCCGCCCGTACCCCCTTCTATCTGAGATCCAATCTCGGTCAAGGGCAGGAAGTGTCATGGAAAGCTGGGAGTTTTCCTCGCCACCGGGGTCTCCCGTTGAAAATCAGCAAAGAGAAGCAGCAGAGCTGCAACCTACTGGGCCTGCAGACATTGAAGCACCAAAGAAATTGCGTCGCTCTTCGAAAAGGACAAGACGTATGGAAGCCGAACCTTGCCAGTCTACTGACCATGCAGTCTCTAACAAGCGTGAAGATGAGGGTGTATCACGTAGTAGGAAAGCCAAAGATCAGTCATCCCAGCGTTCCTTGATAGCACCCGCCACACCCGGAGAAGGTATAATTACACGAGCAAGGACAGCTCAAGTCACGCCGAAGCTTGAGAATGACTTGGCGAAGGGATCCAAATCATTATCCCGCCGTTGCTCTTCACGGCATGTGGAAGCGGAGAACAAGATGACAGAACAAAAGGTAGATGTCACGAAGTCTGGTGTACTCTCGGATTTACAGGACGCGGCGCAGCATGGCGAAGATGTTACGAGGCCAATGGGTGGCTCAAAACTTTCTGACCGCACAGAGGGGGGTTCAAAGATCCCACTTGGATCTCATGGGTGTATTTTGGTACACACAGATTCTACTTGTCCATCACCTGAGAAACCGGAAAATGTAACAGTTGAAACGCCACCTCCCGTGGTACCATCGACTGCCGAGGCTTCGGAGGAGACAGAAGCAAGAGGATCTCGGAAGAAAAGAAAAAGGGTCGGAAAGCACTCCGACAAGGGCAACAAAAGGCGACGATCTGTTACTGATGAAATCCAAGAATTATCGGTCAGACAAAAACAATCCGACCCGCGTGTACCACAGACTTGCGACGACAGGAACGACCCTATTGAGGGTATGGAGACTAGAAGTAGCCTTCGGCAAAGGCAACAACAGGCACTTCGTCGTGAGTCAAGACAGGCTCGAAGAGATCCTAAGCGTCGAGCCAAGAGTCCAAGTGGGAATGCGGACGGTGGTGATACTGATGAGGAAGTACAATCTCAACTAGTAAAGGAATCTAATGAGGCGTCCCAGCAGAACCACGTGGAGGGAGATGGCCAAGGTGCGACCACGGGCGAAATTGCAGGAGGAGCCAATGAGGATGAGATGGAGCTCGAAGTAGGGTCGAAGGTTGGTGAAAGTATGGAAACTTCTGTTGGCACAAAATCAAGTGTAGGACCACCAGTTGGAGGAGAAAGTCCCCTGACAATTATGGAAACTCTGCGGAGTGGGCTCGATAAACTACGCAGTGCATCTCTCAGTAGAGAGAAAGTGTATGAGGTTGAGGATATTTTGATGGATATGAAGCGTGAGCTTTTCGAAGCGGAGAGGAGAGGAAGAGGACGAACCAGGAAGAGAAAATCAAGAGGCCAGTGAAGGAAGGAGTATAGTGTTTACAAGAAATAGCTTTTACGGCGAGCATTGCGGCATCAGTGGCGTTGTATGAGACTCTTTATCGCTGTACAAAGCGGGTACATGCCTTCCTTGATCAAGATATGTACCTCGGTGTTGGAAAGGACCTTTTTTGGTATTGGGAAATGTCTCACGAATCGCAGAGAACATAATGTTACAAATACAACACGGCGCGCAGGTTATGCTAGTGCACAATTTAAAGGCACCAAGGACGACAACAATACGTAGTGATTTCGATAATGAGAATCACCCCATCCGCCCAAATTTACCTGGGATCCACTGGTGTGCCTCAGTTTGGAGCCTGAACTTGGGATGAAAGGATTGTTCCTCTAGTCCGAGTTGCTGTCAGCAGGTAGTTGTTATGTCGATGAGTCGAGGACTGAACATCGCTCAGCCTAAGGCGCGAGAGTGCATGCAAAATGGAAAGCCCCCATGAACCCCCACCGCCCCCGGTCCATTTGGAACTCGCCATCTCGATGATCTGAGAATTATCGTCCAGCAATAGCTAAGTCTGGGGCAATCAGCCGAGTCCCAGCAACCGCTTCTTCAATTTTCGTCAAGCACCTCGAATACGGGATTACCAACTTCGGTATCCCGAAAGTGGATCATCGCACTTTACAGCCATTTGCAGCAAAGTGTGGGTTGTGTTTTTTTTAAGCTCCTTCACACCATGGATAAACAACAGGATAATCAAGTTATGAGTCTCCTCCCGTCGCAGACAGTCGCCGAGTGCCGCCCGAAGGATGAAGCATGGCGTCCGCGACGGTTTGCAGCCACAGGAGAATGGATGCGAAAAGGTGCAACTTGGGACAATGCAACAATGGATACTCCGTATAGCTGCAAGAAAAATTGCAGGATAGGCAGCTACCCCCGAATTTGACAGGTATGATGCAATCTTAAATTTGCGCTAAAACACGTTGCAGCTGAGACCGTTTCAGTGTTGATTGACAAAGGACAGCATGCTGCATGCATGTCAGATGAGTGGACCTCAAGGGCAGCTGATGTACTAGTTTGTTTCTACACACAACTATCGTGCGGATAGTGTTCCTATGTTCCCAGTTGAAAGGAATGTGCATTTGTTGCCTTTCCGATGTGCCAATATGGATATAAGAGAAAAGCGATAAAGGTGTCTCGGAAATAGCAGCTTCAATGAGGGGATGCGGAGTACAAACCACGCCGCTGTTAATCTGAGTTCATCATTGGAGGGTTTTGGGAGGATGCTTCACGATGCACTGGTTTTTTTGAGGCAATTGCCCATGATATAGCCAGGCTGTACGGAGTAGTCAGTAAAGGTTAAGAAAAATTGCTCCGCATCATAGCATGTACAGTACGGAAAGGCTGTGATATCTGGGTAGATGTGATGCTAACCCATCCCCCCAACCCATCCATTCCATCGTCCTCAGCGTCGCCTGGTCGAACAAGTTGACTGAAAGCCAAAAGAGCACAATTCCAAAGAGTCGGTCCGCGAAGTGAGAATGACGTCAACTTGTTGTGTCTGCATGTATCACACTGTGCCCTCGAAACGCCTTGGTCCGTTTCCACAGAAGATCTTTGTCTAGTGCATGAAGCACCCAATAAAATTAAAAGTTTGAAAGCAGCATCCGTTCTGATTCCACCTGCCAGGCCGAACATATGTGCCTGTTGTTGATTCCAAACAAGGGTGTGAAGTGCATGCTTGAACGGCTAGCGTGATGCACTCCGTAGATCCGTGTTGAATCACGGTCCCACCTGTACCGACGACGTTGCCAGCGCGGCAAGGTCAAAGATGCCATAGCTCTTGGCTGCGAATCCAGACAGCTGAGAATGTTGGCATACAATTGCTATATTTGCGCTACGAAGCCAGATAAAGAACACAATCTGTGAAAGGCGGGGTGACGATGTGCGTGAGACATACGGACAAGAATGAAGGTCATGCGACACCCAGTCTGGACTGTTCTTTCAAACCTTCCTGTGCTTCTGATGGCACTGTTCAGCTACGGGCTCTAGCAATCTGCAGAGAGAGAGAGAAGAGGGGGAAAGAGAGGAAGGGGGGGTATAGCAAGAGTAACCCCGAGCCAGCAATGAAGGGATGAAAGCAATCGTCATGTATGCCGCGCGAGAAGAGCGTCTAACCCCGCGAGTTGTTTCAAGAAAGAAGACATCTGGACCCTTATACTCATGGATAAATTTTTGAGCGAGAGAGGGGGCGGAAAGCACCGGGGCAAGCAAAGTGCTATAGTACCTACCTAGGTACCTAGGTACCCAACCTGGGTAGGTGCCCAGTACTTGAGCAGGTGCCTGTAGGGATACAGTGAGGGGTACGCCGGAAGCAATTCTCGCTACATGTGCCAATGAGCTATGCTACTTAAGTACTTAAGTACTATGGACTGTAGTTTCTTGGTGCGTACCAAGTACTCCCCTTTGCTTCTTTTCCCCCTCTATTAAATCACTCCACACACGACACGTCCGGTATCCTCTATTTTCATTGCATTTGGCCGCAGCTATTTTTCTCCCCTACATGCTTTTCTGGCGAAACAGATTTCAAAGTTGGCTGTATGATTTGCTGCGCAAGGGGCATCGTGGCCCGCCATTCAGTCTGGTGGATTTGGCACCAGTGTCATAGCTGGCCCAGTGCCTTCTCCATTTGGATGCCTTCATTATCCACGGCTTGCGGTGGAATGACGTCGCAGGCTCCCCGCTAGGGCAGGAAAAGAGGGTCGGATATGGTTGCAAATGCAACTTGAAGGGCCTGAACTACAGGTTCAACTGGCGCATTCTACACCGTCTGTGCATCTTGTCATCTGCGGAAGCCCTGGAGGCGCAAAGACTATTCGAACGTAACTAACGAGCGAGAGAAGGGAGTGAAGCGACGGCCTCGTCTTCGCCGCCTTTTTATAATCACACCAGGTTTCCCACCACACCGACATGCCGACTTCTCGTCCAACGAATCGGAATTCCGAATGGTGACAGTCAGGCACACCAGCGGCGCTTCTAGAAGCCGCAAGCCATCTCGAAGGATGCTTGGCCCGCCTACAGCATTTGGGAGTCACCCGCCGCAGAAAGAGTCAAATAGGCACTCCGCGAACGGTCAGCAAGTGTTGATGGTGGTGGTGTGCGGACAACAACCCCGGCATCAGCCTCCAATATGTGCCTTGCACGGAGTACATACTAGCTTTCTCGCTTTTTAGCAGCTTGAGAGGCAGTTGCACAGCACAGGGGCCCCCCAGCAGCCTTTACGCTTGATGCTGCACACCGGTGGCCGAACTTGTCCATGTCTCTCGGGTTCTCTGACTGTTAACTGGCTTACCTGACCTAACCTGACGAGGGCGGGCCAAATGGATTTGATGACGGCGAACAGGGCCGGTCTCGTGGGCTGGTGGAACATCGCCATGGAGCCATGTGGAGAACCCCCGGTTTGGCCAACATTGTAGTACAGAGTGCCAAACCTCCCCATCCTCGCCAACTTATTGTTATGTGTCGAGTGTCTGATGTGTTGCGGAAAGACCGAGTAAGGTCCATGTAACTGCTTGCCTCGGCCGTTTGTGTTTGTCGTTCATCACCATGCTCACGTCTGTGGTTCAGCCCGGGCCGCGTTCCCACATCCCGTTGGTATCTTGAGGGCCAATGCAACTTTATAAAGCGCTTATGTCTCTCTCTCTCTCACACACACACATGTTACTCTCTGGTTTACCTCTGTCTTCCATCCATAACCGTTGTTGTCCCATCCACCGCTTTCTAGGCTGTGAAGTGAAGGAAGGGACCGACAACAGGGTTCCAAGACTGTGAAAACAATACGGGCCACACCAAGGCTTATAATATTCGTATTGAACGCTTTCTACCCTCGTCTCTCACCGATCATGGTGAAGAAATTCTTGGGCTTCTCCGGCCATGCCCTTAACTGGGCCATTGGAGCAGTAGCAGGATGTGACTTCCTCCTTTTTGGTTATGGTAGGCGCTCTGTTCTCTGTTTTCTGTTTTCTGTGCGCCCTGTGTGTATTAGTCGTTGCGACTCGTGCCGAGCTCTGCACTTGTGCGACATTGTAAGTACCGTGCTAATAATGATCTGTAGACCAAGGTGTTATGGGTGGCATTCTCACACTTCCTATCTTCCTTGAACAGTTCCCAGATATCAACGACACTGAAAATGGTCTGACAGACGCCCAAAAGTCTAATAGATCAACTTACCAAGGCATCGCTGTCGCTTCATACAACCTGGGCTGTTTTATTGGCGCAGTCATCACCATCTTCATCGGCAATCCTCTTGGTCGCAGACGTATGATCTTCCTTGGTACTGCCATCATGGTTGTTGGAGCGGCTCTTCAAGCCTCTGCTTTCACTCTCGAGCATTTCATCATTGGACGCATCATCACTGGGCTGGGCAATGGTGGAAACACTTCCACCGTGCCCATGTGGCAATCCGAGACTTGTTCAGCTCATAAACGTGGCAAACTTGTCATGATTGAAGGTGCACTGATCACTGGAGGTATCATGATCTCGTACTGGGTGGACCTTGGCTTGTCCTTTGCGCCCGGCTCTGTCGCTTGGCGTTTTCCCCTGGCCTTCCAGATTGTCTTCTGTCTTTTCATTCTGGCATTTGTACTTGGGTTACCCGAGTCTCCTCGGTGGCTCATCCTCAAGGGTCGCGACGCCGAGGCTCGAGAAGTCATTGCCGCCATTGCTGAGGTTGAAACCGACGACAAATATGTTGAGAACGAATTTCGCGCCATCAAGGAAACTGTTGCAGAGATGAGCAAGGGTAGCTTCGCCGATTGCTTCGCTCGCGACAATAACCGCACTCTGCACCGTACCATTATCGCCTATGTCAATCAGATGTTCCAGCAGATTTCAGGTATCAACCTCATTACGTATTATGCCGCTACTATCTACCGTCGTCTCGGTATGAGTCCATTCTCATCTCGTCTCCTCGCTGCTTTAAACGGCACCGAGTACTTCATTGCATCGTGGCCGGCTGTGTTTCTCGTCGAACGCGTTGGTCGTCGAAAACTTATGCTGTTCGGTGCTGCTGGTCAGGCCGCCACCATGGCTATTCTCGCAGGTGTAGGCTCTCAGGAAAACAATCACGCCTGCCAAATTGCAGGTATCGTGTTCCTTTTTGTTTTCAACACTTTCTTTGCGGTTGGCTGGCTCGGCATGACTTGGTTATACCCGGCTGAGATTACTCCTCTACGTACCCGTGCCCCAGCCAACGCCTTGTCTACTTCTTCCAACTGGATCTTTAATTTCATGGTAAGAACAGCATCATTGCTAAATTATGATGCAAAGATATGCTAACATTTTTACTTATAGGTTGTTATGATCACCCCCGTCTCCTTCACCAACATCAAATACAACACTTACACCATCTTCGCCATCATCAACGCCATTATGGTTCCTTCCGTCTACTTCTTCTTTCCAGAAACTGCGTACCGATCTCTTGAAGAAATGGACACTATTTTCCAGAAAGTTAAGGGTTGGAGGGGTGCCCTTACCGTCGTACACCAAGCCGAAATTGAGCCTCGTCGCTACGGTAAAAACGGAGAGCTTCTCATCAGTATTGATGAGGCTGACGAGAAGAATAAGGTGGAGCATCGCAATGGCAGTTCTAGCGAAACTAGCACTGATGTTAATAACGGCATGTTTACCAACAACGACGAAGAAACACAGCGCCGCCGTTAGTAAACGGCTTCGGTGTTGTAGCTACAGCCGTGGCTTAGCTGGAGCCAGGTTGGAATTCTTTCGTTAGAAGGAGAAGAGACATCGAGCTACATATCCCTTGAGCTTTTCTTGGTCCATTCGGAGATGAGCTCCATGGCAAACGTCTTGGAAAGTCCGCAGTGCATCTTGGAAGAACTGTTTTCTTTTTTCTTTTTTCTTTTTTTTTTTTGTGCCTATATACCCGACTGCGGAATGCTTCATATTGCAGACTCAGTTCATCACCGTACTGCATCAAAAAAACCCACCCTCTTGCACTGGGGGTTTGAATTGAATGCGAAGACTTTCTCAATTTTATTTCTTGTAGAAACGAAGGAGGGCATCTATGTAAAGGAATTAGACTGGACAGAATAACTAGTTGCTCATTAGGATGTCTTTCTATATTCCCTTATCCAAATGGTGCAACCCTTGCACCGCAGTACCCGAATGCAATCCAAAGTCTAAGTAGTTCCAACGACAAATGGACGATTAAGGCTTCCTGTACAAAATCAGTTTGCGGGAAAGGGTGCTATGTTTCTTAATTCTTCGTCAATCGCCACGGAATGACCTGGGAGATGGAGTGGCAATCATATTGCCAATTCCCTTTTACCGATACCTTAGGTACCGAGGCAAGTACATCGCTCGACATACTGCCCATTCGCGCCTCAAACAGACCATGCAATCAGTCTACCCCGCCATACATCCTCCACCTGGCCGCCTTTCCCCTCCACCCCTCCTGCGACAGCTTCTCCCTCAGATCAGACAAACTAGAGCGTGTCATTTGACCACCCAGATCCTCCTTCACTTCATCATCGTCTATTTCCGCATTGTGTTTGCAGCCCATCCACAGTCTATGTGAGAACCCCTCGTTTGTGTTTTCTACACCTTGGCATCTTGCTAAAGCCTGACAAACAGAGGCAATACGCGCCCTTCTGCTAACCCCGGATATCTCTCTGTGCCCTGCCGGCCAACAGCTCTCTTCCTGGGTCAACTGCCTCTTGTGGCTGACGGGCTCGCTATTTGACCAGCCGTATTGAACTCGATAAGCCAAGTGCCTGCATAGGTCTACCATCTGGGACTTCATTCGAACACTCTCGCTGCTCCTCGCTTCGAAAACAAAAACAAAACCGATTTGCGAACGAAAACACAACAGCTTTTACAATGGTGGACAGACCAAACAAGCCGTCAGCTTTGGCTACCACGCCAGGTCTACCTCCACAGCCGCAGGTGACTATCTCAGATGGTAGCTCTCGTGTCTCGGCTGCTCTTTCCACGGGAGAGAGTGTTGAAGTATTGCTCTTCGGCGCTACTGTCCTCAGCTGGAAGGATGCTGCCGGTAATGAAAAGTTGTGGTTGAGCAAGGATACGAAGCTAGATGGATCTAAAGGCGTGCGCGGAGGTATCCCTTTGGTCTTTCCGGTATATCCCCTATTATCCAAGTCCCTTTTTTTTTCCCTTGGGTAATTAAGTTTTTTCAACGCACGAGTCCAAGAGAATCTAACGCGCAACTCGTGGCTAGTTATTCGGGCCTGCAACTCCCAACCATGAAGCTACTTCAAAGCTGCCTCAGCATGGGCTTGCTAGAACTGCTCGATGGGAGTTTCTGGGGAAATCTACTAGCGAAGGCTCTAGCTCCAGCTCCAGCGTAAAGCTGGACTTTGGTCTCTCATCTGATACTCTTGCCGAATCTACCAAGGCTCTTTGGCCCTATAAATTTGGTTTACTATACAGCGTTACTTTAGACCGGGAGAGCTTGACTACGACGCTTGTCATAACTAATGATGGCGAAGAGTCTTTCGATTGCCAAATGCTGCTACATACATATTTCAATATCAAGGTGTGTAACAAGTCTATTCTATTGCCAACAAAATCTGGCTTGTGTTTGAATGTTTCGAAGCCCAGCCGACATTAATGCGCCTGCCCTACAGGATATATCTGCCGTCCAAATAGCTGGGTTGGAAGACTCCAAGTACGTCGACAAGCTAGACGGAGCCAAGACCAAGACCGAATCTTCATCGCCGGTGACATTTTCCGGTGAAATGGATCGTGTTTACACTCCGGCCAAAGGTCCTGGACACCCCATTGTCGTTTCCGATTCCGGCCGCCCCTGCTTCCGGATTGTCAGAGATAATCTTGACCAAGTTGTTGTGTGGAATCCCTGGATTGAGAAAGCCCAGGAAATGTCCGACTTTGCTCCCAAGGACGGCTATAAGAACATGGTTTGTGTCGAAGCAGGGAGTGTTGATGGCTGGCAAAAATTGGACAAGGGTGACGCCTTCGAAGGTGCCCAAACTATTTATATTTTGTAATGTGGTTTCAAACGTCGAGAATGTTGACCCTTAGGGCGGAATGGTTTGATGATTGGCTCATATCACCACCTCTAGCTATCTTGCCAGTGATGCCATAGAGTTACCGTTCGAGCAATCAGACTATTTCATCTATACATCACCTTTGCGACGTTGGCAGCATATCATATGGAGCGTCCCTGTGACTTTGAGCAGTGCAGTTGATGAACAGAGTATGGAAGCTGGCAAGTATTCTGTTCCCATAGAAGCAAGGATTCCCTTTTGTGGGCACGCTGTTCCCATACACCATCCTTCTTTAGATAGTGCATTCCCGTATCAAAATGTCTCTTTATTCACCCGGGACTCACTTGTCGACCCCTGTATAGGACCAAAAATCTTTTGAGTATTCCATGTCGACTCATCCCACGTATGTACATGATGTTTCACTTCTTAATGAGCCGCAGCTTGCCTCTATTTTCTAGCCTTAAGCATCGTTTTTTTGCTCCTGTGAAAAGTGATCGGCAACTAGGAATGCAAGCTCAAGAGCTTGTTTTTCGTTGAGCCGAGGATCGCAGAAGGAGGTGTAGTTGGTGGACAAGTCGTCCTCCTCGAGACCTTCACTGCCTCCTAGGCACTCTGTGACGGCGTCGCCAGTAAGCTCGAGATGAACACCGCCAAGGTAGCTGCCCTGCTCCTTGTGGATGCGAAGCGACTCCTGAAGTTCTTTGTAAATATCGTTAAAACGGCGCGTCTTGATACCGGATGGCGTGGACAGGGTGTTGCCGTGCATGGGGTCGCATTGCCAGACAACGCATCGGCAGTACTCGGAGTCCTCAACTGCACGAATGTGCTTGGGCAACAGCTCGCCAACCTTGTTGGCACCATACCGCGTAATCAGAGTGATCTTGCCGGGCTCACAAGCGGGATTGAGCGTCCGCAACAGGTCTAGGAGATCGGAGGTTGGTGTCGTGGGGCCAACTTTGACGCCAATGGGGTTGGCAATGCCACGGAAGAATTCAACATGGGCATGGTCGAGTTGGCGGGTTCTATCTCCGATCCAAATGAAGTGCGCAGACGTATCATAGTAGGCTTGCTGCGCCTTGGGCTCGTCATCATCCGCAGGTAGTGGAGGCGAGGGTGCTCTGCTGCTGGCGGGGGGTGCTGGGCGAGCCGGAGGCGACTCTAGCAGTCGTGTCAGAGGTTCTTCGTACTCTAGGAGGAGTCCCTCGTGACTGGTGAAGAGCTCGACGGTGTGCAGCTCGTCCGGGCGAGAATTGATGACTTGCAAGAAACGGAGGGTCTGCTGGATGCTGCTGGCAATGGACGAGTACTTCTCCTTCAAGACTGGATCGCGGACGTGACCCAAGCCCCAGTCCAGGGGGCGGTGAAGGTCTGCGATTCCGGACGCAATGGAAGCACGAATGTAGTTGAGGGTGGCCGCAGAGTAATGGTAGGCTCTACGAATCTGATTAGCAACAGAAAGCGCCAATCCATCTCACCGACGTCGCATGTGTTTTCTGGGAAGACTGAAGCTTACTTGGTCAGGCGGTGAGGATCGATGTCTCTTTCATCGACGTGATAGCCATTCAGAATATCGCCCCTGAAGCTCGGGATCTCGCGGCCCTGATACATCTCGGTTGGGCTTGATCGAGGCTTAGCATACTGGCCAGCCATTCGACCGATACGGACAACACGTTTGTTAGTGCCCCAAATGAGAACCACGCTCATCTGCAGCAGCAACTTGATCTTGGACTCGATGGCGCCCTGCTCACAGTAGTCGAAGAGCTCGGCGCAGTCGCCTCCTTGTAGGAGGAAGGCCTTGCCATGAGCAACATCTCTGAGGTGAGCCTTGAGAGCCAGGATCTCGTTGGGGTGAACCAGCGGCGGCATGCGCGACAGCTCTTTGACGACCTTGGTTAGCTTCTCCGGCTCAGGATAACTAGGAGCCTGCTTGATGGGCTTGGAGCGCCATGTTGACGGAGCCCAGGGTTGGGAAGCCATGGGGTGAGCGAGCGGGTGAGTGAGTGAGTGAGTGCTCTTGTGGATGGGTCCGATGAATGGTGGGAAAAGGCCGAGTCGGGACTCTCGCGAGCAAGCTTATGTGCGCGCGCGTGTGTATATTATATTAAGCTGTTGAGTCTCGAGCCGTGAGTCTGTCGCTGTGCGATTTGGGGCCGACGCCGGAATCCGCCTGTGAGTCACCCAGTGACGGCAATGCCTCTGCAACACTCTGAATTTGTACGACGTTACCATGGAACGAAGTCTGTCTGCAGATTCGGCAGTCGGTTTTTTTTTTTTTTCTTGTATGGCACACACTTGACTCGAACAATAAATTTTTGTTCCCACTTGGGACGACACATCCAGCATAAGCATTAATACACTCTCGGCGCCGGCATTGGCGAATCATACAAGGTCGTTCCCGCCCTGTCAATAGCTTGGGCGTGACATCAGGATCCAGCTTAGTGGGATGCATGGAAATACAAAACTGTCCCTGACCCCACATCTGCTGCACCCGCTTGACGCTGATCAGAGAGACATGTTGGATGAGCAGCCTGAACACTCCGTACATTACCACCTTTCCACCTTTGCCGTCGGGAACGCACGTCGACATACGTCTACACATCGAACCGAAAATGGCCGAGCCACAGCCCCGAAATGTCCACGAGGGCGCGACAACGGGCGATGTCGAAGACGAGCTCC